TGTGTGTGTGTGTGTGTGTGTGTGTGTGTGTGTGTGTGTGTGTGTGTATACTCTTTTACTGGTAAGTTGTGCTAGATTTTTATCAATTCGATTTACTTATTAAAGTATGAACCTTTATCTTGGCTGTTATTTCTCAGTTTACATCTACTTCTTGTTTTAATTTTTTTCCTATAATATTTATTTCTTTTCTCTTACTTTTTTTTGGAAAGAGTTTAATATGCCATCCTTTTCCCTGAGATTCAAGCTTAAGCATTGTTTTCAATCTCACTTCTTTTGCAATGTATGCATATAAAGCTATAAATTTCCCTCTAAGAGCTACTTTAGTTGCATCTCACGTTTTAATGGGTCATTTACATTATTCTGTTAAAATATTTTCTAATTTCTTCTTTCATCTGTAAGTTATGTAGAAGTGGGTTTCTTAAAAAGGTAATACATTCTGACCAAGTGAAGCTCACTTAGAAAAATACAAAGCTGATTTCACATTCAAAAATCAAGCAGTGTTGACCATCAACAAGCCATGAAGCATTCTGGCTTTATTTCCTGCCCACCAGAGTGTATAACTGATGAGTTCTGCCTAAACAGAATGAATGTCTGGCACCAGGTTATTACTGACTGAATTGTGCAGCATCCCACACTCCACACCCCCAGAAAAAGATATTAGAGTCTTAAGCCCCAGTACCTCAGAAAGTGACATTACTTGGATAGGGCCTTTACCGTTGTAATAAAGGTAAAATAAAGGTACTACAGTGAGCCCTAATCCAATATGATTGATGTCCTTATAAAAAGGGGAAAATCTGGACACAGACAGATATGCACACTAGGAGAATGCCATGTGACAACTGATGTTATGGTACCACAAGCCAAGCAACTGCCAGAAGTTAGGAGAGAGACCTAAGCAGATCCTTCCTCAGCACCTTCAATGGGAGAATGGCAGTGACAACACCATGATTTCAAATTTGTAGCCTCCAGAACTCTGAGACAATAAATTTCTGTTAAGCCAAAAAGAAAACCACAAAAAGAAATCAAGCTATTTAATTCACCACATAAACAGAACAGAGGGAGAAAATGAATAAAGGATTACCTCAACAAATACAGAATATTCATTTGACAAAATTCAAGACTGATGCATAATTACAACTCTTCAGAAACTAATAATACAAGGAAAATTACTCAAATCTGATAAAGGTTATCTACCAAGAAAACTAAAGATAGCATGACTGATTCTGACATAAGATCAAAAAAAAATCAAGGATGTTTCCAGTAACCATTTCCATATTAACATCTGGCCAGTGCAATAAAGGCAAGCAAAAGAGGGCAACAATTTGGTTCTGAAGAAAAACAATGTCTTCAACAATACGAGAATAAAACAAAATTCCTTTAAGGACTACGATGTACAGGAGGCAGGAATACTGTTTTCACATTGGATAGTCACTTACCATTACCATCACCAGTAGAAATGATACGGTAGAATACACTTGCTTTGACCTGAGAAAGAAAGCAAGCCAGCCCCTGATGTCTGGAAACTCAACCGATACTCACAGTTAGGGCTCAATGTTGTTAACTGATCTGATGCTTACAGCTAAGCCATGTTGTTCCCCGGTTAGACATAAAGCCAACTCAGAGAACATTCAAGTCAGACAAGGTCACTGTGCAACCCACAAAATTCCAAACATCCCGCCTCACTAGATGAGTGATGGCTACTTCTTCATCAATTACAGCTTTATCTTGCATTAGTCTGTCCTCCCTATATAGATAAAATTTATTGAGATACCCAAGTATAGAAGTGTCCCTATGTCCTGATGTCACCCAACCCACAGTAAGGATCTACTTCCTTAATATCTCCCCAAAATAACCCAACCTATACTCTACTATACACAAATCGTCCTCTTACTGATTGATGTGCCTTACAGTTTCCCCATAGTGAATACTGTTCCCCCCTGCGACAAATAGTAAACCTGACTTGTTCAATTACAAGTGTGCTCCTGCTGGTCTTTGGCTGAAGGGCATATAACAATAAGCCTAGCCTTTTTGCTGGAGGCCAATTCAGCTAGAGAATCTACCACTTTGTCAGAGAATTTCTAGACTGTGATACATTCTGTATTCAGTCTCTCACACTAAGCCAATTCACTAAGAATATATTTCTTAGTCTTTCTAGCCATTTTATTTAAATCATATAACTAAATATTTAGAAAAATTATTCTTCATTTAAACAGAAACCTCAATACAAAATTGTAATAGACACTGTGTTAGGAGTTTTTAATTACAGACTAAAATTTCACAGCTTCAAGGCTTTTCCCTTCCTATCTTTACAAAGTTATGCTAACTGTAAAATTTTCTGCAAAAAGATACAGATACAATCATTGTATTTTGCTGTCACTTTTCCTTGCTGATTCCAAAACTACAAAATAATTAAATGTATAATATAAGTAGAATAGTTACCCATTAAGTATTTCCAAATACTGAACGGCCATTCTTTTGGACTTTAACCTCATAATATCCACATTTCTCAGATATTATATGGATAGCTGGTAATTATTATCAATTGCATTAGAAGTAAGCATTCCTTTAAAAAATTCATAACTTTTAACAACCCAATTAAGAATATGAACTCTGTATACTGTTGACAGAGTCATAGATTTGAATTTCCACTCTGCCAGGGAACCTACTGTGTGAGACTGGGCAAATTACCTAACATCAATTTCTTAGTTTCAGCTACCTTAAAAAGGGACTAATTCTAACACCTGTCATAGAGGTTGCCATGAGAACTAAATGAGATTCTATATATTAAACACTTGGAATGTAATAAGCACTCAATAAACATTATAACCATCACCATCCAAATATTCAGGATAATGTTTTTAGGAATAAAGAGTCTGAGACAAATTACTGTTAAACACTTTTGGTATTTTTTATATATATATATATATATATATATATATATATATATATATATATGTTTGTATAAAATCCAACATGTAAACCTCACATTTAATATTAAATTGCCACCACCAAATAATATTTAATAAAAATAAATATAATTTAAGAAAAGCTGATTTTATCAATAAAATTGTCATTAACTTCAGTAATAATAAAGTACTTTAAAAAGAATTATAGAATAACTACCACCCATACCCACAAGGGAGCACACTACAGCCATTTACCAGATCTTATGGGTTCTAAGTATAATAAAAAACAGACAAAGCAATAAGGAAGAAGCACGAACAATCAGCTCGAACTAGTTCAGCCATATCCGTACAAACCAATCAGCACTCTGCTTTTAAAAATCTATTTTGCATTAGCAAAGCATATTTAACAAAGATACACATTAGAGAAGGGTGTGTTACCTGAAAACAAGTCTCCATGGCTGTAATGCCAGAGCAAAACATTTACAAGGATCATTTTAATACTGTCACCTAGAACTAAGATGCCATTCATAAAACTATTCTATAAAATAAATGTTAGTATTTCAGGTGCCAACTCAAATCAGAAAGCTTTCACATGACTGTAATTCATTTTCACAGAAAAAAGCATTGGTATTTTACGGCAGAAGATGTCTGCCATGTCTAAAAGTAACTGCAAAACATGATGAACTAGTTTCTCCTGAAAGTATTTTCTTCATGAGGAAGAGTGTCAAAATAAAGTCTCTGTATATTCAAGAACTCTGGGAAAATACTATCACTACTAAAATCTTTTTCTATAGGAATTTATATTTAAGTAACCAGAGAAGGGTGTGTTACCTGCAAATAAGTCTCTCTGGCTTGGAAATTTTTTTCAAATTTTTTGTAGATTTTTTTTTTAAATATTTTTAAGGAAAGCCCAACGAGCTTCTTTAAATGAAAACATTAGTCCCTTCTCTGCTTCAGACCCCTCCACCCACTACTTTCTAGCAAGAGATCATAGCAATAAAACAACAAAGGGAAGCTGTTTTGTCTTAGCCTACAATCTGCCTGCTCAAAAAGCTCAAGAATTTAAATGGCTGTTCAAGAGCTGCTCACAAACTCAGCCAATCAGCAGCCAGCATTCTGATTCCTGCCCAGCAACAGGAGACAGACAATAAGGTCAGAAAAACATAGTTAAACAAAAGCTGGATCTGCAATACTTCAGTGTGGTTCTTTGTTTGAAATAAGTAATCTAGAACAGTTTACATAAAATCCTAAATCCACATAACATGCATTAAATATTCCACACATATAAGATTTACATCTTTTATGCTATTTGTTTTAATAAATATTCATATTTCCAGAAATATATATTAATATAAATTAATTTCCTACTTGAGGAATAAGTCAAACATAGACAATATATAAGAATATACTTTTCTTTACAATGCAAAATTCGAATGTAAATCTCTTTTTTAAAAATGCCATGGACTATATATATATAGATATATACTAAAAATCTAGCAAAACCTTAAATCCTGATAAGTAAAAAAAAATTTCATACCCATCTATTGTTACAGATTTCTGATTCCAAAAATTAATAGTATTCTGGACCCAAAGGATTACTATGGATAGTATTATGAAGTGTTGTGCTGTCTACTGCACTGAACTGACTTAGTTTAATTCATCTAATGAAATTTAAATGTCTGATTCTGTCTGATATTAAGTGGTATGAATACAATTACTACATCCTTTTCTCAACTGCCTTTTGCAGCAAGTTACAAAAGGTTATATGAGATGTCCTTTCAAAGCTTTATGTGGATTACAGAGTAAATATTCATGAAAGACACATTTTTCTTATATTACACCATTCTATAGTTCTTTAAATAGGATTATAAAATAAAAATGGAAAATTTGTTATGAGAATTTTTTTTCTCAAATTCACTACCTATTAGGTTTTCTTAATAAACAAGTTTTAAAAATAAACCTCATTTCCCCCCTTCCTTACAAATGAACCTTGTAATTTTTCAAACATACCCAAGAGGGAGCTTGCTGCAGCCATACTCTTAGTTTATATAATCTCCCCAAAGGAAAAATAAATCAACAGCTGCTTCAATGTTTCAGTCCTGTGAGAGAACTGAAATTCACTGTCTGATTGGCTCAAAGCCGAAATAGTCTAAAACCAATCAGACATCAGTGTCACAAACCTTGCCCAGCAACAAGGGAAGCAGATGAGGACAAGTGATCTATCAAAAACCCAAAGAATGTGAAAATAAAGGTGAACAAGGTGAACAACGAAATGGAAACATTAGGAATGTAACTCCAGATGCGCTGTTTGAAAAACAGGTCTATACTAGGGTTTCTTTGATTAAATAAACTAGGGTCTGTACTGCTTTCCAAGAACAGACTTAACTAAGTACCACGATTGTTGGGTCAAAAAGCATACACAACACATAAACAACACAAATGCTCTATTAATTCAAAGTTATGAATATCTGATGAAGTATACTTAAAAATAAAACTAAAGCAAAAGCTTAGAAAACATTAAGCAAAATCTTTTAAGTGGACATGGCATTTCTGTCTTTAACAAAAGCATTCTAATTATATTCATGTTGTTGGCTGACAGTATAACATTTTTCTGAATGAAAATTTCATTTTTCTGCTGAAAATAATTTTAATTCAAGTTTATTTTCATTAAATGGCTGAATTAAATATTAAATAATCACTTTATGCTGGTAATTCCTAGCCTCTTTAGAAATGCAACTCTGCTATTAGATTCTTTAAGAATCCCATTCTCGGCTGAAACTAAATTTTGCTTGAGAATTTGCAATACTCTTGAAAATAAAATCATAAAGAATAGTGACTTGCAAAATAAATGCTAACAATCTGCTTTACTATTTATTGCCCATTAAACAGGGAATCTGACAATGCAACGGTTCACTCACTTTGATACTTATCTGCTCAAATTTAGTATAAAAATTTTAAATTTTTTATTTTAAATATGATATCTATCAGTATTTGTGGGAGACTTGTTTCAGGACTCCCCACAGATACCAAAATCTGACAATGTGCAAGTCCCTTATATAAAATAATATAGTATTTGCATATAACCTATGCATATACTCCTGTATACTTTAAATCATCTTTAAATTACTTATATTCCGTATAACATAAAGGCTATGTAAACAGATGTTATACTGTTGCATGATTAGCTACAGTTATCTCAACTGGTATAAAATAACTGTCACTAGCTATCCTGCCATCTTTAAAAAAAAGTGGTAAAATCTGTTTATCAAATACTCATAAAGTCAATTGAGTAAGTTATTGAGTGATTATAATATCTGACACCTCAACAAATCAGCCTCTCTTCCTGTCACCAACCAAAATGCAGAAAGCAATAACCCCAAACTAAATTGTAAAAAATAACCAACCACAAAAGAAATAGGGAGTTTGCTTTACCAACAATTCCCTGGACAAGGCAGGAGTAAATCATGTCCTTAAAATTTTGGTTACATCGAAACCAGAAGTGTCACTACAGTCTAACTTCTTGTTACATTCACTGCTATATTTTGAGAAATTTTGGAATGGTCCACATGACAAAAAAGTAAGATATCTTAAAATTAATTCTCCAAGTCGATTTTGGGGATCATTGTGTTACATGGGCAAAATAAAATTAAATGATCTGATCTAACAAATGTCATTTTAGAATACACCCCCTTAGAAAACTGGCCAATTTTCCATCAAGACCCTACTAGCTTGCCAAACTCTATTATCCCTATGCAGAAAAGGAGTGAAGTTAAAGAAGGTGTTGTATTTATCTCCACAGAAATTTAAGAAATCATTTGTCCAGAGATGGGAGCGGTGGCACATAACCTGTAATCCCAGCTGCTTGGGAGGCTGAGGCAGTGGATTGCTTCAGCCTAAAGGGTAGAGACCAGCCTGGGCAACATAGCAAGACTAGGTCTCATTAAAAAAATAAATAAATAACCATCAGTAATAGAAATCATCTGTCCTAATGTACTTTTCACATTTTACTTGGGTGAACTAAAACACCCAGAATGAGGTATGAAGAGATGAAAGATGTAAATCCTTCAAATGCCAGGAAATACTTACTTTTCTTATTAACCCAACCTAAAGACAAAAGCTGGATAGCCAACTTCCTGTGTCACCTTTTACTAGGTGATAATGCAGCAACAACAACAACAAAATTTCACTGGCTAATAACTATACTTCTTCATTCTAGGACACCAGGCTGAAGGAACAGGTCTCCCTCATCCCATCTAGGCCTTGTGGCAGAGGGAAAAGTATTGTATACTGTATACTTCTGATATACGTACACTGTAATATCTCTGATGTATATTGTATATATATGTACACTCTGATGTACTGTTTATCATATATACAGTATATGATAGCTTTTGGCAATACAGAGATATACAGTATACAATAGCTTTTAGCAGGGGTGTCCAATCTTTTGGCTTCCCTGGGCCACAATGAAAGAATTGTCTTAGGTCACACATAAAATACACTAACAATAACTGAGGAGCTTAAAAAAACATCGCAAAGAAAAAAATGTATGATGTTTTAAGAACGTTTACGAGTTTGTGTTGGGCTACATTTAAAACAGTCTTGGGCTATATGTAACCCGTGGGCCACGAGCGGGACATGCTTGTTTTAAAGCTTTTGCTTAGACATGGTGTACATCACTTTCCTTCACATTCCAATGGCTAAATCCAAAATAATCATTAAGGGAATAGGAAGTAAAAATCTACCAAGGGGAAACACTTCACATCACATGGCAAAAGGTACGGATATTATAATCCTCTTGCTGCAAAGCAGTATAATTGTAAAATACCACACAAACTATCACAATTTAAAATACACATATTCTAAAAAGCGTGGCATAAAAAAAGACTTCTGAACTAATAAAACTAGGTTCTATTCCATGTTCTAACGTTAGTATACAACAGCATAGAATAAATCAATTTAACTCTATAGAGTTCAGTTTTCTCAACTGTAAAACTGAGAAGGTTAGACCAGATGCTTGTTAAGTTCCATTCTAGCTCAAGTTATATATTATTTTATTAATGTTTGGCTATACAGACACATATAATTCATTTTGCATTATGAAATAAAAATAAAGTGCCCTGTACAATATAATAGCTTACTCCTCCTCCTTCATCCTCGACTCCTAAATGAAAAGATAAGCATAATCTTGAATTTGATGTTTATTATTCCCAACCATGCCTTATAAATTCCCCCTTTAATTAACGCCTTGAAAAACACCCTTTTTAATGCACACCTTGAAAGGAGTAAAAGAAACTTATGCTTATCAAGGAATAATTATATGTCGGACACTATAACAAAACATATCCTTTTCTCATTAGTTTGTGATAATTTATTAATTTCAACTTTCCTATCATGTGAATTAATAAATCAATAACTATGCTGCTATCAATAACTACACAGATAGTAATTTTAACTTGGTAAGGTAAACCAGACACCCAATTCAGTACCAAGTTGTTTTCTGCAGCACAGGCACCCTTCTTACACATTTCGCCCTCTAAGTTTTGACACCATTTTAACAGAATGTTGAGCAATCATCTACATGTATCTTCCACAGTTGTCTTCTTTATCTTTTAAAAATGGAGATGTCATTTAAGATCACCGGTAAAACCTATCTATTCAGTAAATGGGACCTGAGAGTAGACTCCCTCCCCAGTTTTACCAGCCAGCTGACCGCTTCAGGTATTAGCTACCAGAGCATTACCAGCAGCTTTCTAAGTATTAAATTATCTTATCCTTAATTTAACATAGCAATTAATAGTAGAATTCAGTCAACAAACTTAGAAGAGGATTTCCTCAACCTGATAAAGGGCACCAAGAAAACCCCACATCTATTATACTTAATGGTAGAAGACTGAAATATTTCACCCTAAGATCAGAACAAGAAGAGATAATCTGCTCTCATCCTTTAGTCAGCATTGAACTAGTTCCAGCCAGGAGAATTAGGCAAAAAAATGAAATACAAATCAAACAACTTTTTTTTTGTTTGTTTTTTGAGACATGGTCTCCCTCTGTCGCCCATGCTGGAGTACGCTGGCACAATCTCGGATCATTGCAGCCTCCACCTCCTGGGTTCAAGCAATTCTCATGCCTCAGCCTCCTGAGGAGCTAGAATTACAGGCATATGCCACCATGCCTGGCTAATTTTCATATTTTTAGTAGAGATGGGGTTTCACCATGTTGGCCAGGCTGGTCTCAAGCTGCTAACCTCAGGTGATCTACCTGCCTCAGCCACCCAAAATGCTGGGATTACAGGCAGAAGCCACCACACACAGCCAAAAGTCATACATCTTTTAAAAAAAAGAACAATTTTTATTTACAGATGAAAAAATCTCATGTATAGAAAATAGCATGAAATCAACTAAAAATTTATTAGAACTAATAAGAGTTTAACAAGGTTGACTATAAGATTAATACATAAAAATCTATTGTGTTTCTATACCCTTAAAACAAATGATCCAAAAATAAAACAATTCCATTTACAGTAATATCAAAGATAATAAATTTGGCCAAGAAGTATAAAACAATATTCTGAAAACTATAAAATATTGATGAAGAAACTAAAGACATAAATAAATGACACTGCATACTCATGAATCAAAAGACTCACATCCCTAAGATGTCAACATTCTTCAAATTCAGCTTCAGATTCAAAACAATCTCTATCAAAATCCTAGCTATTTTCTTTGCAGACACTGATAAACTGATCCTAAAAATATGAAAATGCAAGGGTCCTAGAACAACCAAAACAATCTTCAAGAAGAAAAATAAACTTGGAGAACTCATACTTTATATTTTTAAAAGTTATTACGAAGCTACAGTAACCCAGAGAATATGGCACAACTAGCAAAATGACAGACATATCCCAGGATGTATCTTGGAACAGAAATAAACCCTCACTTTTACAGTAAATTATCTTAGATGAGGGTTACAGGAACATTCAATGGGGAAAGAATAGTATTTTAAACAAACAGTGTTGGGAAAACTGGATGGCCACATGCAAAAGAATGAAGTTGGACTTCTATTTCTTGCCATATACAAAAATTAACTCCTATGAATCAAAGACCTAAATTTAAGAGCTAAAACTAAAATGTTAGAAGAAAACAGAGACATAAATCTTCATAAATTTGGAACAGGCAATGGTTTCTTAGATATGACCCAAAGAGAAGAAGCAACAAAAGAAGGAAAAAAAGTTTAACTGAATTTCATCAAAGTTAAAACTTTCTGTGCTGCAAAGGAAACCACTAAGAAAGTAAAAAGACAATTTACACAATGGACAAAAATATTTGCAAACCATATACCCAATACGAGACTTTGATCTCAAATATGTAAAAACTGTTACAATTCAATAATAAAACACCAAATAACCTCGTTTTAAAATGAACAAGGGACTCAAACAGGCATTTCCACAAAAGGGCCTTTATAAGCCAATAGCTCATAGGCGGTAAACATCATTAGTCATCAGCAAAATGCAAGTAAAAACCACAATGAGATAACACTTCACACACACCAGGACAGCTATAATCAATGAGACTAATGAGTGTTGCCAAGGATGTGAAAAAACTGGAACTTTCATACAATGCTAGTGGGATTACGAAAAGGTGCAGCTGTTTGTAAAATAGGCAGTTCCACAATATGTGAAACACAGTGTTATCATACATCATATGACATCATACAACACAGAAATTCCATTCCTAGATATATACCCAAGAGAAATGAAAACATATGTCCACACAAAAACTTGTACACAAATGCTTTATAAAAGCACTATTCATAATGGCCCAAAACTGGAATCAACCTAATTGCCCTGTGACTAATGAACAAATAAAATGTGGTATATCCATACAGTGGAATATCAGTCAGCCGTAAAGCGAATTAAGTACTGAATATGCTACTACATGCATAAACTTTGAAAACACGCTGAGTGATAGCAGCCAGTCATGAAAGGTCACATACTGAATAATTCCATTTACAGTATTCCTCCCCTTATCCAAAGAAGATACATTCTCACAACACAGTGAATGCCTGAAACTGGATAGTACTCAACCTTATATACACTACGTTTTTTCCTATACATACATACATTTAACTTATAAGTTAGGCACAGTAAGAGATTAGCAATAACTAATAATAAAATAGAACAATTGTAACAATACACTGTTCATTGTGTCACAGAAGTATAAGATAGTTCTTACTATAGCAACCTCAGCATATGATTTTTTTTTGTCTTTCCTTTATTATGCCAAAAACTGTAATCTTTTCACTTAAAGGAAGCACTTTACAGCTTCTCTTTGGCATATCCAAATTGCCAGCATCACTACTCTTTCACATCGAGGACTTTATTAAGTAAAGTAAGGGTGACTTTATAACAAACACTGCAATACCAGCACAGATCTGATAACCCAGACATGTCCTAAGTGACTAATGGGTAGGTAGCATTTACAGTGTGGATACGCTGGACATACTGGACAAAGGGATGGTTCATGTCCCTGGTAGGACAGAGGAGGTTGGCATGAGATTTCATCACACTACTTAGAACAGTGCCAAATTTAAAACTTATGAATTATTTATTTCTGAAATTTTCCCCTTACTATTATCCCACAGGTGACTACAGAGAGCTAAACCACAGAAAATGAAACTGTGGAGAGGGGGACTACTGTATATGAAATGTCCAGAATAGGCAAATCTATACAGACAGAAAGTAGCTTACCAACAATTGTCTAGGGTTGGAGGGCTTAGGAGAAAATGACGGTTGGCTACTAAAGGTTGTACAGGATTTCCTTATAGGGTAATAAAAACGTTCAAACATTGATTGGGGTGCTTACACAGCTCTGTGAATATGATGAAAACCACTGAATTATACACTTAAACAGGTGAACTGTATGACATGTGAATTGTATTTCAATAAACTTGATATAAAAAAAAAAGAATAGCAGAACTTCAGTTGAGTATTTTTCATTTATTTTTAACCTAAACCCCTTTACTGGGTCACACTTCCAACAAAGACAAAACAGCTATACCAAGATAACTGAGTGTCGGTTTATACTTTACAGGGTTCACATTTTTAAGCCAACAAGCGTATCAGTAATTAAACTGGTGGTAAAAGTGTAAAGTATGTGTAAAATGGCACCAGCCTTGTTCTCTTATGTCCTCATCTTGGATGAGCTCATTACTCTTTTTCCCTGTCCTAAATGGTACATAATTCTACAGTATGCTCATCTTGCAGGATTGCAGTAATGAGCATAACATACTCACGTAAGATATTTGAAAACAAAAAACAGTACTAAGCATGATACAGGTGAATTCTCCAGGAGCAAATAATAACAAAGTCTTCTACACATAGAAAATGCAATTAACTATCTTTTATCAGAAAGGCTAGAAAGTCTTAAGTGAAACAGAAACCTTCTCTTTTATTATAAAATGGTACTATAACCAGAAGGCCTTATATGTAATTAATGATGATAAATGTTTTTAAATGAGGTATACTTCTTGAACTTTCTGAAGTTATATATGGCTTTGTCACACTTTATCAATATTGTTTTTATTCATATGTCATGTTTTGCTACCATTCTCCATATTTGCCAATGCTCTAAAGGTATCCTTTTAGAAATTTTTTATTATAAATGGACTCTAATACTACATTTATGTATTATTTAATGGAACACTTTGACATTTTTTATTAAGTATCCAGTACAAATTATTACTCTTTCACATTTTAATCTCTGTCAAATCTCAGGAAAAATTAAGACATTTTAAGTGTCCAAAGCTTTGATATTAGAAAACATCTAAAATATGCTGAGATGATGATGATGTGCTTCTGAGGTCATTTCACAAAAGAACAAAAAAATGAAGTATTCTAGTACAATATTAGTGAACTACGTAGTGTTGGGCACACAGAATACAATTAAGTATTGGCTAGAAGAATGATGCGCTATATACACATAACTGACATCTAAAATAATTCTTACATGAAAAAACTATTCTTTTAGAAAGCAAAGATAATAATCTAGAACATTTTAACAGACTTGTAAACTAGCATGCTGGCATGTTTACATAACAAAAAGTAATAAAATATACCCACTTATAAGTTGCCTAACAGAGGCAAAACATAACACCATTAAATTAATCAAATACACAAGAGAGGCATTTTTCAGCCTTTTATAAAGCTTGCTTAGTTTGATTTCTCATTTCAAAAATAAAATGCCCTTTTAAAAGAAATCTACCTTTGCTTCTTACTACATATTGATGAAAACCCTCTTTAAAATAAAAAACATACCCCAAAGGGAGCCCCCTTCAGCCATCTTATCAGTTCTTTCACAGCAACAGAAACTGAAATACAATTTGCATAGTCACTGTGGTTGGCTAATAAAAGCAGTATCATGTAACCAATCAGGAAGACAGAAATTAGGCAGCCATAAGAGAAGAAATTTTAAATCTGCCTGGCAACAGTCTAAAAATAGAAACAATATGCTAGCAGGAACCTTGGAATAGATGCGAATATAAAAGCAAAACTACCAGCAAAAACACTATTTTCTTGGAAAAAATATGTACCTTGCATTTCATCGCCTAAAATATTAACTTGACACCTTTACTTATTAGGTGTCAATTAAAGAAATGAATGTTAAGCTAAACAAACGGGCCACTTTCAAGAAACATGCCATTGTGCATAGTGTGTGTGTGTTGAGGGCGGGGGCATGTATACATCCATACCTATATATTTAAGTGTTTTCCTATTTTCGGGAGAATCATAAAACATTTAAACCATAGTACTAACACATTCAAGACTCTCTAAAATCTCAAATTCTAAAGAGCACTGTATTTTTCCTAGCACTTTTTTCTGCAATTTTATGACTCAATCAGATTTGTTGATTTAAAAAAAAAAAAAACTGTTTAATATGTACTAAAAATACAAAGCTTAAATAAATTACCAAAGCAGACTTCAAAATAAAGTAGGAAGTATTCCTTAATTATTTTTAACACAAACTTCTTTCCACAATGGTAATATCTTATACACAGTAGGCATTCA